TACTCTCTCAGTATCGACGACTTTGAGCACCTCGGGTTCTTCTCGACGTTCTCCAAGCCCAGCGTAATCACAGCAAACTTCGAGCCCGTTGGCGCGAGGCGAGCACCAGCGCCGGCCACCGCGGCAGCGACTCGCGCGTCCTCGTCGTCACTGGAGTGATCGACGGGCGCAGGCACGCACGTGATCCAGTCGTCACTGCAGTGATCGACGACAGCAGGCGGCGCGGCGCGGCCGGCGGGAGCTGCGCAGCTGCTTAGATGCGGAATGTGCAACGGACGAATGGAGTCCGCAACATGCTTTGGGCCGCGCTGATCACGGCGAATGATGAGAAGACCTGAGCGAGCACAACGACACATTTCTACCTCACCGCCCGGACTCAAGAGTGCGACTATTAGCAAGATCTTTCACGGGACCTAGAGAAGCCGGCGCAGGAAGAGATAACAAGAGAGGAACATGCTCCGAATATTTCAACCGATGCGACTCGAGACATCCACTCGCGGAGCCATGAGAAGCAACAGTTCGAAACGGGAACTATTCTTGCCTGTCGTCTTACCCCCTGCCCGTCCTTCTATACCGCTGGATGTCTTACGCTGTCTGTGAACCCACTTAGGATAGAATTTCTATCATAGAAACCCAATTTCTCGAATTTACCCTCTTCGTTAAGAGCCCAAGCTTTACTGTGACAGCAAGAATTAGAACCCTCGTTTAGAACAACCCAAACACCTTCGTCCTTGCAGACGTCAACCGCGCGTAGCTTAGAAAGAGCTGGAACTTCGGTCGAAACGTCCTGTGCTGGAGCCATAAAGCCGACAAGACTGTGGTCTGTGACTTCTGCGACGCAGTCATGAAGCCACGAAGTTAGTTCACCTGTATTAGTGCCTCCTGTTTCATCGCAAATCTCAACAGCACGTTTAGTGCTAGCCTTTAGTACATCCTTTAACTCGACAGAGGTGATACGGCGTTCCTCCTCGATAATACGTTCGATTGCTTATGCTTGGATGTTGCTGGGGCGTTCAACTTTATTTGCCGTTGCTTTATTGTCTTATGCTAGCTTCCTGGGATGCTCATCGACGCGCCTCGGGCAGCGACAACAACGCGCGCGAACAATGTCTGGAGCACTGCCGCGAATTGTCTACAAGATCGCGCGGACGCTCGCACGGGGGGCGCAGCGCCGCGCACCTCTCCTGCATGGTCTTGGGGCCGCAATCCTTGCGCGTGCGAACAATGAAGCGAGCGCTAGAACCAACTCCTGAGAGACTGTCACAACCTCGAGCGCATGGGCGAGGCAGCGGGGGATCTGGAGGTTTCCTGCTCAAGCCAAGAGAAGAACCCGAAGAAGGCAAAACTTTGTCATTGGAAACTTTCGGCCCGGAAACTCTCACAAACTGTCCGTCTTCCTTCCGAGTGAAGTTGCTATCGGTCCATCCTAGAGACAGAACCAGATCCTCACTTGGCTTCTTCGCCCTGCGACCCCAATCTACGTAGTCCGGAGCACCCCTGAGGACACGACCATAACTGGGCCCTTCGTGCTGACCCGAAGCAAACGCAGCATCCTGACCAGGAACAGAGATAGGATCCGACACGGACCCCCCCCCCCTCAAACTCCTAATCAGAAAACAGTAGCCATAGAGTAAGACTCGGTCGAGCGAACAGCCATGAACCCAAGAGCACCCCCCTCAGCCTCTGCAGAGGTCTGAAGACTGTTCTCCTGAAGCTCTGGAGGTCCCTGAGCCGGAGTGGCTTCGGTCACCCCCGTGCAACTCCCACAGGCATGATGCTCAACGCGATCGTGCTGCAAGCTACACTGGCCGCCGCACCCCCGCCCCCCCCCCCCCCCCCACCCCCCGCTCATGCGCGCATGCCCTGCGACGCATGGCGCGAGAAGAAACAGAAGAGCAGAAACAAGAAGCACCATAACCCACCCTCATCGACCCCTCCTTGTTCCTAGTGGCATGGCGAAGGATTGATGGTGAAACAGCAGCAGAACTGGCAGATGTAAGCTTTCGTTCGTTATCGTCCTCGCGCCGCTGGACACGGCGCTCGCCAGTCTCCAGCGTGCGCTACCAATGCCGCCCCGGGCGTGCCCATGCATTCAGGGTCCCCGGACCAGTGGCCCCTTTCGTAGCAGGTCTTGCATTTCGAGCGTTTCTTGATCTCCTGGAGCTGCTTCTCGCGATCTTCCAGGGAAGGTCCCCCCTCGCCGCCTCCCTCGGGCGACCAGGGTGTGTCGTGGTAGCTCTTGCCTCCGCTCTCTCCTTCGCCTTTGCTCCATCCTTTGGTGCCAAGGTTGGCTACCAGGTCCTCTTGGATCGCGTCAGAAGCTTCTTCCTTTGCATATGTATCCGGCCTTGGCCATCTCGTCGACCGCCTCCACGTCGAGATCGCTGCTATATTGGACAGGAGCCCCGTGAGCATACGATTCCTCGTCGACGCAGGTGCGTTCGTCGGCGCAGTCGCCCCTGGCCGCGTCGCCCCAGCCGTGCTCTGGCGCATAGCCGGACGCGCAATATCCGCGGGGGCTCAGCTCCTCAGGGCAATGCCCCCCCTGCTCGTGCCATCCTTCATCAGCAGTGAAGAAGGCGTGTTGCGGCCTGGAGAGGCACACTTTGCCCTTGTCTTTGCTCCTGTTCTGGTAGCTGGGTCTGGGCTGCGTCCACGTCGAAGAGCTGGGGCCTTTACCAGACTCACCCTTGTGCATGCGGCCGTGCTGTAGGATCCAGACATCCTTGATCTTGTCGAAGTTTGTCACGTTTCCTGTGGATGTCAACACCGTCAGGTTCTCCGAAGGCGAGAGGCCTGCATGGTCCAAGAAAAGGGATCCAAGCAGATCGTCACTCATCAAGATCTTAGGATCTAACTTGGAGACAAGTTTCTACCAGCGCTTCCTTCGGGAGATGTGCGAGACCATAGACTCACCACGCTGTCGAGACAGTGGTCCGCTTGGTCTCTGCCCCGCCTGGAACAGGATCTTCGCTTCCTGCGCCTCTACGGGGAAGAGTGAAGTACGAATCGCCAGCACCAGCTGATCGATCCCATTCGGAGTCAGAAGCACGTCATTACTGAGATTCCTGGCAATATCGAATGCGTTACCCCTGAGGCCTTCTACAACCTTCTTGACAGATGAGGTGGTCACGTGTTGCTGTGGTTCGCCGGTCTCTTGATCCACTGAGGCCAAGGCGGCACTCATGCGAGTCTCTGTGCGGAATTCCCACTCGTGGAAGTTGTTCACCGTGCCGTCGTAGATGTAGGAGCCACTCTTCGTCTCGGACCGCGTCAGCGCGTCGGCGCTCGGCCGATAGCGAAGAGAAAAAAGTGCCATGGCGCAAAGCTCAGTCCCCTAGCGAGGGAAACTGCCAGTACGGAAAGAGAAGAGGTTGTGCGACACTCTCTGGTGAGACGTGCGCGCAGTGGTACGATACGGGGATCGTGTGGTAGCTCCGCCACCAGTGTGATCCTGATGCGTTTTAGCGCAATGGCAAAAAAAGGGGGCCCCTACAGGTCAAACGGCGGCGAATGGCGGCGAGCGGTGCATATACACACGTCACGCAGGCACTATCTCACAATCATAATCACCATCACCTTCACCATCAACATCATCTAGCGAAGTACCGCGGCTCCGTCGGCGCCCAAACTGCACTGCAACGGAGCGGCGGGCCCAGTACTGCGGAGCCGCGGGCCGTGCGGTGCAGCATATCCTGAGCGCCCTGGACGCGCTGCACCGCCCTTAGCTGCGGCGCTCAGGGCACTCAGGCGACGACGCCATCCTTGGCCCTCCAGACAGCATGCCGCCTGCCGCCGAAGAGGAGCTGCGGCCAGCCGAGTGATCCCCAAGAGGCCCCCTCCGGGGGGGGGGGGGGGGGGCGAGCGCAGGCGGCGCGCAGCCACCCGACGCCGCTGCCGCCGAGGAGGAGGAGAGCGCAGCGGGGCCAGCGGTTGCACGAGCGCGCCGTGCAGGTCGCAGCCGCCGCCGGGCTGCCCCGTGGTCGGCTCGGGGCTCGCCGTGTGCCCGTTGTGTGCACCGAGGCGCCGGGCGAGGAGGTGCGGGGGTCCCCAGGTCGCGGCCACTGCTGGGGTTCCGTCCAACCGCTCAGCTGGGTGGAGGTGCAGGTTAGCTGTGGGGAGACGCGCTCGCGGGCCTCGACAGGATGATGGAGCAGCAGCAACCATCTTCGCCACCTGCTCCGAGTCTGTCGCCATGCTCCGGCGAATGCAAGCACCAGTGAGTCATATCTTAGTGGGGAGGTCATCTTGCCCTCATTACATTAGTTGGCTGAGCTTCTGGCAAGTCCGTCACTCCTGGTTATGCAAGTATGTTGTGCATACACAAACGCGCATTTACAACTTTACATGTTCTGTGTCAAATTCACGATTCAAAACTATACGTTGGAGGTTTCCGGATGGATATTTGAGTCACTTTGGCAAATGGTGGACACATCGGCCATGAGTACGCAGTGGCTCACAACATGTGACATGTTGTGCCCTTTCGTTTCGGCGCTCGTCGAGATAAACGGACCGAACAACGAAAAGTGTAATCGGCATGGTCGCAAGATCCGTAAATCCATAACTCTTCCTCCTAATACTGGTCCTCCCCCTCTTTGTTCTACCCATCCCTCTTCCTCATGATCAACATCCTCCTCCTACTCCTCCTCATCATCATCAGCACAACCACCATTGCCATCATCATCACCACCACAACCACAACCACCACCACCATCAACATCAGCGTCATCATCATCAGCATCCTCATACTCCTCCTCATCATCATCGTCGTCATCATCATCACCGTCATCATCACCGTCATCATCATCATCATCATCATCATCATCATCATCATCATCATCATCATCATCATCATCATCATCCTCATCTTCATTATCATATCATTATCATTCCCATTGTGTATCATCCTCCTGCTCCTCATCGTGCTCCTCCTCGTGCTCCTCCTCCTCCTCCTCTGTCCTCCTCCCCCTCCTCCTCATCCTCCTCCCCCCGTGATGATCCCATGCTAGCGAGGGCCCAGAGGGGTCCTTGAATCTCTGCCTGAAGGGAACGCCCTCGGAGAACTCAAGCTTGACCACGACCTCCTCGGTGAGTCGTCTTAGGGCCCTCCTCCACCCCTCCCATCCCTCCCCTAAGACGAAGCCAGGACGATGACAATATCGGACGGGGGTACATCGAGGATCTCCGAGATCCGGCGGCTCTGGAAAATTTATCGGGTCCGCGGCCTTTCCTGAGCGCTCCAGAATGACTAGTCTCGGTCCTGGCCCCGCCCGATCTCCTGCAATCCGTGGATGGCCACCCTTCTTCTTCCCCTCTCCCCCTCACACGACCTTCCTCTTGTTTTGTTTGTTTGTTTGTTTGTTGTTGTTGTTTCCCCCCCCCTCTCTCTCTCTCTCCTCCGCAGCTGCCTTCCATGTCGCGTCTCTCGGTCCCATCCCCGTCCCCCCTTCACCTCGGTGAGCCTCAGGAGCAAGAGGGGACGAGGCACGAGGAGCTGCAGGACGCAAAGCGCAGTCCTGCCTCACGATGATCGGCCACTGCCAGTGCCTGGCCATCGCCGAGCAGCAGGACCGCGCGTCGCCGGATGCTTGTCCGCCCGACCTGTCCTTCCAGAGCCACAGGGGCCAAACAGGGCAGATTGACGGGGCCACCGCGAGAGCCCGCGGGCACGGCTGGGTGGCCAGCACCCGCGCACCACCCGCTGGGCCAGGGTGCCGCCGTGGCGGCCATGGGGGCGCCCCAGACTGGGGCGCCCCAGAAGGATAAGAGCGGGGGGGGAGCGCGAGCGGCGCACCGAGGCGCAGAAGCGGAGAGAAAGGACGCTCTTCAGGGGATCGTGCCAAGAAGAGGGCGAGGTGGATGACTGATTCAGGGCCCTGACTTTGCGCACACGACCCAGTCGTCGGCAGTGGTATTCGCCATGGCAGTATCGACCCTCCACCTCGATCCTCTCTCACCACCAGCTCCCTCTCCTCCAGCAGGGAGTCGGAGAACTTGCGAAGGGGCTGCGCGCCTCGCGCCTGCGGGGCCCCTGCCTCAAGATGCCGGGAATTGGCCGCCACCCTGCTGGCACAGGCCTAGGCAGCGTGGAACCACTCCAGAAACGGCGGCGGCGGGCGAGCTCGACCGCCAGCAAGGACTGGGGTAAAAACGAAAGTCGCGCGAAGTTTAGCAAGGCGGGCCAGCATTGTCAAACGGAATTGTCTGATTGACTGGCAGGGCAAACTTGCCATCCAGTTCCTACACGAGCGGCAATAGCAAGCGAGACCAGAGCAAGAACAACCCATCACTCAGACTCCCTGCTACGTTGAAGCTGAAGCCGACTGTGAAGGGCCAGCGCACAGCGGCTGGGCTAGCCTCATGATCTCGACACTCCGTCTAACGTCGAAAATGACGATGTCGGACTGCATCCGCAAGATTTCGAAGGCATCGGTGACGCCGAACCTCTGGCGAACGTCGCCGGAGGGAAAGGTGACGCACCAAGCACCCCGAAACGCGGCAGGCAGCTCGGCGAGGGAAATGGCATCAGTTCCCGCCTGCGACCTCTTCTGCAGCGCGGCGACGGCACCGCTCGCAAAGAAGGTCACGAGCGCGTCCTTGTCGGACAGCTCTGCGGGATTCGTCACGTCGGAGTCCTCCGCTGCAAGGTAGGACTCCCTGACGGAGCTCGTACCGTCGGAGCTCGTTTTGTCGGACCTGTTCCCGCCAGTGTGTTCAACACCTGCACGCTCGGCTCCTCCACGGGTTGCTCCTTGGGCTGCACCTCAGCGCTCAGCTTCGAGAACACTTCTTCGGTCTGCCGCTCACGGACGGGTCGCGCTCCTGCACATCCTCCTCCCCCTCGGCACTATCCCAGCAGCTAGGCGCCAGCTAGGCATTCACAGCACCATGCATCATGCTGACGACCGCCACCTGGAAACCCTGCTTGCCTACAGTGCCGTCGAGCGCAACCTGGATGTCCTGCGGTCCCACCTCGTCGTCCCTTTTGTCGAAGCCCGCGTTACCCTGCACGTCCTCCTCCCCGTCCTGCTCCTTGCCATCCTCGCCCAAAACCCAGCGCGCGTTGGCCTTGACCTGACGTCCTCCTTCTTCTTCTTCTTCTTCGTCTTCTCCTGCTCCTCCTCCTCCTCCTCCTCCACCTCCCCCTCCCCCTCCCCCTCCCCTCCCCCTCCCCTCCTCTCCTCATTCTCCTCCTCCTCCCTCCCATTCCTCTTCCTTCTCCTCCTCCTCCTCCGCCTCCGCCTCCTCCTCCTCCTCCTCGTCCTCCTCTTCCTCCTCCTCCTCCTCCTCCTCCTCCTCCACCTCCTCTTCCTCCTCCTTCTCCTTCTCCTCTCCTCCTCCTCCTCCTCCTCCTCTCCTCCTCCTCCTCCTCCTCTCTCTCCTCCTCCCCCTTCCCTTCCCCCTCCTCCTCCTCCTCCTCCTCCATCTCCTCCATGTTTTCCTCCTCCTCCTCCTCCTCGTCTCCTGCTGCTGCTGCTGCTCCTGTCCTCCTCCTCCGCCTCCTCTTCCTCTCCTCCTCCTCCTTCCACCTCCTTTTCAACCCTTCCTCCTCCTCCTCCTCCTCCTCCTCTGCTTCTCCTTCTCCTCATCCTCCTCCTCCTCCTCCTCCTCCCTCCCCTCCTCCCTCCTCCCTCATCTCTTCTCCCTCCTCTTCCCTCCTCCCTCCTCCCTCCTCCCTCCTCCTCCTCCTCCTCCCCTCCTCCTCCTCCTCCTCCTCCCTCCCTCCTCCTCCTCCCATCCTCCTCCTCCCTTATCCTCCTCCTCCTCACCTCCTCCTTTCCTCCTCCTCCTCCTCCCTCCTCTCCTCCTCCTCCTCCCTCCTTCCTCCTCCTCCTCCGCCTCCTCCTCCGCCTCCTCCTCGTCCTCCTCTTCCACTACTACTATCCTCTTTCCCCTGACGACGTCCAACAGATATCCGGCCCCCCTCCGCGTACTGTGCTCCCGCTGCAGCGCTGGCCTTCCTTCCAAATAGGCCCCCAAATCTAGAAAATCCCTCCCCCCCCGAAAAAAATATCCCAGCAAAGCAACCTAACAGCGATGTGTAGAAGCATATCTGGAAGCATTCCCCTTAAGATTCAGATGAGAATCCAGTTGTAGAATTCTGCTGTTCTCGCAGTCGCAGTCGCATTCGCGATGACAGTCGCAGTGGCAACGGCAGTCGCAGTCACAGCCTCCGCCTCAGCCTGCCTCAGCCTCAGCCTGCCTCAGCCTCAGCCTTAGCCTGCCTCAGCCTCAGCCTCAGCCTGCTTCAGCCTCAGCCTCAGTCTGCCTTCAGCCTCGGCCTCAGCCTCAACCTGCCTCAGCCTCAGCCCTGCATCAGCCTCAGCCTCAGCCTCAGCCTCAGCCTCAGCCTCAGCCTCAGCCTCCTGCCTCAGCCTCAGCCTCAGGCCTCGGCCTCAGCCTGCCTCAGCCTCAGCCTGCATCAGCCTCAGCCTCAGCCTCAGCCTGCCTCAGCCTGCCTCAGCCTGCCTCAGCATCAGCCTGCCAGCCTCGCCTCGCCTGCCTCAGCCTCATGCCTTCAGCTCTGCTTCAGCCTCAGCCTCAGCCTCAGCCCAGTCTGCCTTCAGCCTCGGCCTCAGCCTCAGCTGCCCTCAGCCTCAGCCTCATAGCCTGCGTCAGCTTCAGCCTCGCCATTCAGCCTCAGCATCAGCTGCATTCAGCCTCGGCCCAGCTCAGCCTGCCTCAGCTCAGCCTGCATCAGCCTCAGCCTGCATCAGCTCAGCTCAGCCTCAGCCCAGCCCCTCAGCATCAGCCTGCTCAGCCTTCAGCCTCAGCCCTGCCTCAGCTCAGCCTCAGCCTCAGCCTCAGCTGCTTTCAGCCCTCCCAGCTCCGTCTGCCTTCAGCCTCGGCCTCGCCTCAGCCTGCCTCAGCCTCAGCCTGCATCAGCCTCAGCCTCAGCCTGCCTCAGCATTCAAAATGTGGCCCGGGAATGGAGTTCTGGGAACTCGAAGAAAACGAAGTGGCCTGCAGTTGGCTCCGGGCATTCAAAATCATACCCAGGAATGAATTTCTGGGAACTCGAAGACCACGAAGTGGCCTACAGTTGGCTCCGGGCATTCAAAATTATGCCCAGGAATGGAGTTCTGGGAACTCGAAAACCACGAAGTGGCCTACAGTTGGCTCCGAGCATTCAAAAACATGCCCAGGAATGGAGTTCTGGGAACTCGAAGACCACGAAGTGGCCTACAGTTGGCTCCGAGCATTCAAAAACATACCCAGGAATAAAATTCTGGGAACTCGAAGACCACGAAGTGGCCTGCAGTTGGCTCCGGGCATTCAAAATCATACCCAGGAATGAATTTCTGGGAACTCGAAGACCACGAAGTGGCCTACAGTTGGCTCCGAGCATTCAAAATCATGCCCAGGAATGGAGTTCTGGGAAATCGAAGACCACGAAGTGGCCTACAGCTGGCTCCGAGCATTCAAAAACATGCCCAGGAATGGAGTTCTGGGAACTCGAGGACCACGAAGTGGCCTACAGTTGGCTCCGGGCATTCAAAATCATGCCCAGGAATGGAGTTCTGGGAATTCGAAGACCACGAAGTGGCCTACAGTTGGCTCCGGGCATTCAAAAACATGCCCAGGAATGGAGTTCTGGGACCTCGAAGACCACGAAGTGTGTAACTGTTTGCTTAAAACGACTTCCGCGGATTCTCCCCGGCACCCGTCCGGCATCTGCCCAGACACCCCTGAGGAGTCAACATGCTTTCTGCTGAGACCATTAGAAACCTATCAGTTTTCGCTGTTAGGAAACATCGGAAGTGATTACCCATTCGGTGCCGATTCAATGATTGTTTGGGCCGTTGTTTTCCAGCAAGCAAGTATCAAACGGGAGCCCCGTTTCTGCTTTGAGAAGGCGATGTTGAAAGCAGGGCCAGCGGGTGCTCTCCATCAGCCCCGCATTGTGGGGAGCTTTTCGGGGAGCCCAAGGAGCTAGATGGAGCCACGACTCCAGACTCCAGACCGGCCCAGACCTCTCGAAGACGATCCCTTACCCTCCAGAGGACCTGGCGCATGCCATGAGATGCTGTGCGGTGTTGTGTTTTGCGCCGCTGTGCGATGCCATGCTTTGCGTTGCAATGCTTT